TGGGGTATCGGTCATGGGATCGGACACGTGGAGCACTTGGACCAAGTGCAAAGGTTGAGTGGCGGGGATGCCATTCTTGGGGCTAGCAAGTGCAAGTCTGAAATAGGACTTATGGAGGTTGTGAATGAGACTCCTCCAAGTGGTCGGAGGTGTGGTTAAGTGACTGAAGTAAAATGGAAACATTAGTCACTTACATGCAAGTGTAAATAATTCATAAAATGCGCGAAATCAGAGTGGTGCAGCAGAAGTGTGGTCTTGAAGCTTGCCATGAGGCAAAGCTATCAAGGTTGGGGAAGTAGTTCCCGAGTGTTCAAAGGGATGGTTTTGAACAAAAGTCAATGGTCATGGACTTTCACGCTTAAGCATGAACCATGATATAGTGGTCGGATGACTTGTTAAGTGAGATTGGCAAGTCAGGGGAATAAATACCCTAGTTGAAGGTGTTAACTTCAAAAGGGGTGGCATATGGGGCCAAGCATAGAGGAGTCCATGCATAATTATAGATTTATCAAGTGAGAGGACTTGGTAGTATGGAGGAACTAGGTTTCTAAGCATGATCTATAGCGCACTTTAAGTATAAGTTGGTGCACCAGCGTGGGGAGTCACGCTAGGCATCTTAGGTGATGCCATATGTAGATGCATATATGGAGGTTGGGTTTGAGTCCCAACCCTTTAATGCTTGGGTTCGAGTCCCAACTCATTAGGGCATGGTGATGGGTTGGAATATGAGGACACTTATTTTTTAGTGGTCATACTCTTAGTAAGGAGACTGGCTTGGGCACACTACCAACCAAGGGATACCCCGGAGTCGTGATACACAATTAGATTGTTTAATGTGAAAGCTCAACATATCTAACTTGAACACTTTAGTGTAAGTGGCACCAAGGACATGGTGAATGAGATAGAGACACCCAGTCTTAGTTGTTATGGACCCTTGGCCAAAAAAGCTGGCTTGGGTGCATTGCCAAGTGTGGAAGATGCCCCCAAGGTCATGGTCAACAACTTAAAGGTTTGGATGATCTAGTATCCATTGGCAAATCTGTTAAAGTGTTAATATTAGATCATTAAGTGATCTTATGGCTAAAACAAGGACAAGGTCCTTGTGAGGTTAAGGATTAAGGTTTATACTTCAAAGTGTTGATTTGAACTATTGATGATAATATGGCTTGGTCAAAGTGACCAAGTGGAAAAAACATGTAAGGGAAATAAACTGTATCAATACGATGGATTTTTTTATCCAAAGAAAGTAGTCTTTATAAGGAACCCATGGGAGGGTCACAAAGTGGGGCCATGGATAGAGCCCACAGTAGAAAATGCTAAAGAGACTTACTAGGGGTGAGCACCCTTTAAACTTGGCAAACTAAAGCCTTTGCCATAGAATTGAAAGAATACCTCAAGGATGGAGGTAGTGATCTTATGTCGCTTGGTGTAACAATCAACGGATAAAAGCAAAAAACTAGTGGTTAAGAAAAGAGCCATGGGAATCATGGGAAGGAATCCAAATGGCAAAATTAGGTTAGGAATACTAAAATATTGGGTGTTAATGGATTGTGGGAAAGGCAATATGTTTCCAAGGATGGATTCCAAATTGCTCCAATTTGGTAAAAGTGGAAGCTCCAAGGGAGAGAGCAGCTAAGTAGCCAAATGATAGGGCCATGGACAGCTTTAGCACAAATTATGATAACTAAAATTTAGTGCCAAAGGTGGCAAGAAATAGAAAAAATGGATGATGATGTTCTCAAGTAGAGGACTTCCTAGGATGGGGAAATGGACTTTACACAATATGTGCAATGCAAGATGACAGAGGCACTTAGGAAATTGACTTCGAAAAGTCAAATTTAAAAGTTCCAAAGTACAAAGTTTATATCAATGGAAACTAAGACTACTCGAGAATGAGTAATGGGATTGAGATAAAGAAGGTGTCTCTAATGAGTTTAGTGAGAACTAAACCAATAAAAGGAGAGAACCACCACAAGTGGTCGAATAAATCTTTAAGTTGGAGAGATTATGCTTCTTAAAGGATGGACAAGGCATGGTAAACCTTCGGTGTCAAACCATTGATAAATATTGGCTATGTGCCAAGGATGGAAAAGGTAATACATGTTGGTATTACTTTATAAAATAGTTTATCGTTCGATGAGGACATCAAACTTCATCTATGGGTGGTGGAGTTGTGAGACATAAATCCCTAAGCCCCAAAGTGGAGCCGAAAGGGTGCTATGTGGTAGTGGCCGAAGCGAAAGCCAAACGAGTGTAACACATTTGGACTAAAAGCTTTGACTTGAAAAGTCGAGAGTAGGAGTGAAACTCCCAATTAAGGGCTTGAGGAACGAGCTTGAAGCAAGTAATAAGTGAGTCCGAGATTGTAGTGCATGTGATCATGGGATGAGATTTTGATATACTGTCACCATGGATCCTTGGAACCTTGGGAGATAAATGGGGATAAAATAGCCACTAAGGGCTCTCTCATCAAGCAATTGCCCTTTTTTCAATTGGCTTAAGGGGAGAGAGATAAAGTGCGCTACAGTTGGTATCGGAGCAAATGGCACGGGTTTGATTCCCATTGATTAGTGGCTACTTAAAAGTATAATATACCCTTGAGCAAGGTATATTCCTACCCCTAAATTTGAAATCGTACGTATTAGGCATCCATGCGTACGTCCTTCCTCTTGGGCATCCATGCGTACGTCCTTCCTCTTGTGTGGAGTATCCATGGATGAAGGTATCCACCATAGGATTGCAGTATGGGTGGATGATTAGTTGCCTCACATGGAATAGCTGGTCTACACAATGGAAGGATTGGTAACTTGAGTACGGAAATGGATGTGTTGGTTCCCCTTGGCTCAGTAGGGGTTGTTAGTCAATAGTCAATGAGGACATTGACGCATGTGATCATGGGATGAGATTTGGATATACTGTCACCGTGGATCCTTGGATCATGGGATGAG